TTTAGCTTAGGTTATTCAACCTTAAGCTCATACTGAGTTATATTCAGTGTACAGCTACGTTAGAGTAGCAGTTTATATATATATATTGATATATCAGTATATTAGTAAGGTAATAATTCCCACTTATAGTGTATATATCTATGGATTATTATAAGGAAATATCCTAAGTCTCAATGCCTTATGAAGTTCCCGCGAGAGGGGTTATTACAATATCACTTACTTAAATCACTAATTAATCCAAAGTATTCTGTTTACCCACCACCTCTCCGTGGATTCTACAAGTTAAAAGAGCATGAGTCAGGATAAGGAAAAATATGTAATTTTCTGAGTAAAATTGATATTTTATACTTATCCTGACTCATGAGGTTAGCTCCCATCCTCCCCACATAACACTTTGGATTTCCCCTGTAAATTCAAGTGTTGGGCTCGCAAAAATCAGGAGAGAGTGAAGCATGAGGCCAGAGGGTGGCGACACCTGTTCCCGCGCCTACGGCAGGGGAGGTAACTCGTGGGTGAGTACCAATTAGTGATTTTACATTGAAGGGAGCTTCAATTAAGGAGATACAAGTGTTCCACTATGTTCTCAAGAGGAAGGGGACAAGCAAAAGAGCATGAGTCAGGATAAGTATAAAATATCAATTTTACTCAGAAAATTACATTTTTGTTAATGAAGTATCAATTCTACTACTAGTAGAGTTTAGTGGTGTAACGATTCATCGATAGTATCGATGTTTGCATCGTCAACTACGAGATACGAGTGCATCGATACAAAACACGTTTAGGCAATATATCAGGATATTTATATCGCGAGGGTCCATGATACATCGATGCATCACCACAAGAGACGATACATCCCGATACTACTTAAATATTACTTAAAGTTGTAGTGAGTATTGCATAAGTAATAGGTAGGGAGTCTCTTTGAAATTTTTCTGAATTTTACAAACAAACTGAACCTAAAAGGAATTTGTTTGTGTCTGCCATCTTTGTTACATGAACAAAGGAGTTAGTGTATCAGTGAAAGCATGTGAACAATCTCTGTGAACTGTAGAGACTTGTCTTTAAGTAATTGAAACATGTTTTAGTTGTTTGACAAATAACACCATTTATTAACAATGATCAAACGAAGTCTTAGCTTTGTTAAGAAAGAGAAGATAAAATTTAGAAAGCATACTTATGAGTTTTTTGCAGTGATTCTGGTATAAATTACTGTATAAATTGCCTGTGCAAGCATTGGTGCAGAAACACAACTTTCCAAGGGAAACCTAGAGCAAGGTATACTGAATATGTTTGATTGTACTTTCTTAAGCATTAAATGCTGAAACTTTATTACATGAACAGCCTTTTAAGTGTGTGTGAATGTAACACATGTTCTGCTGAATAACAAATAAAGATTCAGTCATTTAATCTATCATATATGTCCTGGTTTTAGGATTGTAAAGTATCGGGATAAGTATCGTATCGCCATCACTGTATAGTGATGATAATCGTCTCGCAGGTTCCTTGCCAATACTTTCATGATATATCGTCTCGCCTCATTAAACTAGTATCGGGATATATCGTCTCGCCACTTAGTCCACGATACACAGCTCTAGTAGAGTTCGGGTTGAGTCCCATTTGGGATTCGAACTCACACTCACAGAGTGATAACATACCAATGTCAGTTCACAAAGTCAACGATCTAACCCTCAACCACCACAGATTCCACATGATGGAAGTCTGACAACTGGTTGTCTAGATCACATACTTTGTGTACCCCTCTGACAGGTGTAAGTTGGCAGAGTGCTATGAATACACAATGCCATTACACAATGGAATTGGTCAAATGTGACCAATTTTATATTTAGTATTACACATTGTTTATTTTGTGTAAATTTCTTCATGACAGACAGTTGTTATAAATGTGAAAGTGGGAAGGTTAGACAGGGCTCGATCTAGTGCTTTGTTACTTGCACTGGTGCAATCCAATATTACAAAGTGCCAGCTAGTTAGTAGTCTAACTTGCACCAGGTGCAAGTCAATTTTTGAGTGGGTAAACTTCAAAATAAAACATCTAAATAATTCAACAGCATATTTCTTTCATTACATATTGCAATAAAAGCAGTGCAACTGGAATTTGGCTGGTGCAACTAGGTTTTTATCTTAGGTTGCACCTGGTGCAAGTGGGTTAACATCTCTTAAATCGAGCCCTGTAAGAAACTTCTGTGCTAGTGAGTCTTATTGATTATAATAAATATATCAAATAGGTAAGAAAATTTCTTAAGAGTTGAAAAAGTTGTTACCTTACTGTTAATTTATCCAAAAAAAACATTAAAAAAGAACAGCATGAAATGGTAGAGGGAGTGAGTTAGATTTTTCACCACTTTTAGCAATATTTTCAATGATATCACAGTAGGGGACATCAGAAATGGGCTTTATACATTGTAGCCATTTGGGGAATCAAACCCGGATCTTCGCATGACAAGCGAACACTTTAACCACTGTGCTACCCCACCGCCCCTCACAGCACTGAAAACTGTCTTGTGTTCTGAACACCACATAATTCACTTTACTTCTGCTAGAATTAAGTACATATTTCTCAGCATGTATGTTTTAGTCCATAAAAATTAACCCCTTTGTAGGAGGTTTGTATAATGGCATAAAAATTAACCCCTTTGTTGGCTGTCTGTACAAACAGTAGTTGTGTAACGAATAACAGGATCACTTGTCGAGTTGTTTGCACCGCTGGAGATCTCTGAGCAGTCTTTGTGGGAATTTCAAGTTAGGATAGGTCACCTGTACTTCATGTTTGTCTCTGTGTGGGGACTCGTGAAGATCCGGGATAGAATTGATCTTCAGAAACCCTGGTGCTTGTCGTAAGAGGCGACTAACGGGATCGGGTGGTCAGGCTTGCAGACTTGGTTGACACATGTCATCGTTTCCCAATTGCGCAGATCAATGCTCATGCTGTTGATCACTGGATTGTCTGGTTCAGACTCGATTATTTACAGATTGACGCCATATAGCTGGAATATGGCTGAGTGTGACTGAGTTTAACTCACTCACTCACTCACTCTGTGTGGGGATTCCAGGGAGGACTAGGTCCCCAGTACCCAATGGTTTATGGAGACTCTAAGGCATGTTGAGGTGCCAGAACAATGATACTGTGCCAATTCTGCACCCTAAGGCATACGTCAACATTGTGCCCTTGAATAGCACTCTCAGCTCCTTGGGAAGTATTACACCAGATGCTGTCTTATAAGGTTAATGCTTACTTTATAAATGTCACTCACTCACTCACTCACTCACTCACTCACTCACTCACTCACTCACTCACTCACTCACTCACTCACTCACTCACTCACTCACTCACTCACTCACTCACTCACTCACTCACTCACTCACTCACTCACTCACTCACTCACTGTTGTGCATGCTGTGGAATATTTGAGCCCAATTTCCTTTGATGCCCTTACTTGAAACCTCTGTTCCCTTCTTTTAATGATTTTGTAGTCCAACGTCTTGAGCTTGACAGGGGCGGTGGGGTAGCCTAATGGTTAAAGCGTTGGCTCGTCAAGCCGAAGACCCGGGTTCGAATCCCCACATGGGTACAATGTGTGAAGCCCATTTCTGGTGTCCCCCGCCGTGATGTTGCTGGAATATTGCTAAAAGCGGCGTAAAACCAAAATCAGTCAGTCAGTTGAGCTTGACATCCTTGACCAGTGATCTGAATCATTGCTGGCCTGTGATCCGTACAGCTGAATAGCCTTCATGAAACCGCCAGATCATAGGTCAACTAAGTGTAAGGCTGAGGATTATATCCATACAAGAGGCACATACCTATCCAGTCACACGCACTGGAGATACTCTGTATTTTTCCTTCTGCCCAGCCTTTTCTGCAATGCTAAAGTCCTAAATGAAGCTCCCCGTGAAGATCCTGGTTAAACTTGGTCTTCAGCAACCCATGCTTGTCATAAGAGACGACTAATGGGGTCGGATGGTCAGACTCTCTAACTGGTTGTAACATGTCATCATATCCCAACTGTATAGATCAATGGTCATGATGTTGAATTTGCAGTGGAACATTTCACCCTTCTCACCAGGAACCAGGTTGAAAATTAGGGCCGGTGTTTTCAACCAACCAACCAAACCAAAATGAGTTAATGAGTGTGTTTAGTTTTCCTCCGCTTTTAGCAATATTCCAGCAATATTATGGTGGGAGACACCAGGAATGGGGTTCAAACATTGTGCCCATGTGGGTAATCGAAGAAATCACTGTAGTCACTGAAATTACTCCTATGAAATGTTTAAGTTAGTAAGTGAGTGAGTGAGTGAGTGAGTTAAAGTTTATAGTCACAGCGGCAGTATTTCAGCCATGTCGTGACTTAAAATAGTTATAAATTCATGATAAGCACAAATTTTAAAAACCTGTCGACAAAGGACAGTAAAACCAACTAGTATATCACAGTAACAAGAATTAAAACTAGGATATATATCTAAAATTGGATTTCAAATTAGGACAATGGAATATAAAAAAGGGCTAAGTATCACCAACATCTGAAGGGTTAAGTTAGTAAGTGAACATGAATTATCCATATCATAAAGTGATGCATGTTACAATCCCTCATACCTCGTGCCAAGACGTGTTAAGAAAATAGAAAGAATTGCCTTTGGATTGGGCTGTAACGGTGTCATCAGCGAGAATAAACAATTGAACCACAGCCAGCAGATCCTGACACATTCAGGGGACACAACTCTACATAATGAACTTCAGTTCCAACATCATTACGTTAGTTGTGTAGTATGTTTAGATGTTTAGACAACATGAAGTCTTCGTCACTGACATTTGTTGCTTTGAATTTATTGTGTCGCTCCTAAAATATATATAAACATGTACAAAGCTTTGAAAGTTTGTTGAACATGTTAAATGAGACAATAAAGATTTCAAATGAGATTATACTGAATAAACTTGTCGTTATTCCTGCGGCTACATCTGATAAACTTGAATTTGTTTATTTCAGAAAATGGAAATAACAGCGGACTTAGGAAACTCCCACCCAGGGGAGTTGTCACAGACGACATTCGAGGTAGGTCAAACAATTAACTTAGTGATACACATGCTCTATATATTTAGGTAGGTGAAATGTTAACTTAAGAGTGTATTTCCCTCTTCTACATATTTTTTCAACCAGCTGTTAGCAATCCCTCCTTCATCTATTTATAAATTAGTAGTTTTAACCTAAGGATAATTTTTGGGTGGTGGCTTTCAAAATGTTTGCCTAAAATTTAAACGTAGTTAGGTTTTTTAAATTTCAACTTCCTGTAACTGTTGAAATTATTAAGATACAGGTTTCTGCAATGCCAAATATAAGTTTGAACTATTTAACTATAAATAGGTGTTTTGTGATAATTGAAATGTAAATTTGAAGTTTTTACCGACATTTACAGCAGTCTTGCACCCAAATATCAGCTTCAGAAGAAGTTTGAATAAATCTGTAAAGTGCTTTGAAAAAAGTTGTATCAATGATTCACGACCCCCAGTGACTGTATTTTACTTGGAAGAGGAGACAATGAAACAGCACCCCTACATCCTGTTGGTCAAGCCGCACCTGTGTGGACATCCTCATTCACACCAGCGTGACAACCCACCACAGACTTGCTGACTCATCAAAACACAATCAACTTGTTACATAATTGCCCTACAGGGGGCATTGTTGGACGAGTGTTAGTAGTCTGTCCTTGCAACTTTGTAGTCATCTAAGTCATTAGTATATGCAGGGATAGAAATACTTTTTTTTCTAAGTGTGCTTTAGGGCACCAGGCAAATATTTTAGGTGTGCCTTTCAGAAATCAAGTGTGCCCACATGTTTTTAGAATCAATGACTGTAGCAAGGATGATCTTTTAAAATTTATTGTCTGAAATCAACAAATGTAACCAGTTTTCGGTTATCACTGATATGTCTTCTGCTTAAGATGGCTTTCTTATGTTACATTTGTTCTGCTTTCCCATCACCTTTAATAGCTAAGAATCGTGTGAGAGGTTCACTTTTTTCAATATGTCTAACATACACAATTTACTCTTCACTAACCGAACTATCAGTACTCACAACACTCTAAATGGAAAAACAACCAGATTTCTTTACATCATCCATCATAATTCCAGTGATTTCCTGGGCGTAAAAGTCAATAAATGTTTTTGCTTGTTGTCATTTGCTTAAGTGTTTTGTTTGGGGATTAAATGACTAAAGGTGTGCTATGTCTCTAAAAAATTAGGCGTGCCATAAGGGCACCAAGAACATTTTTATCTGTGCCATTTCGATATTTACCGTGTCTTGGCACGCTAATACATGGGGTATTTCGAACCCTGTATATGTCTGACTCAATTGTATATTTATTCAATTTATCCAACACAATTTATTCTGGTAACAAACCTATTGCCCTAGCAGGGCTCGATTTTGTGCTTTGTTACTTGCACTGGTGCAACCCAATATTACAAAGTGCAACCTAGTTATTTTTGAGAAATAAATCAACAACAAGTCTAACATTATACAAGCAGCATATAACTCTGTCAGCTGTCTTCTAAACTTTGAATAATTCAATAGAACATTTCTTTCTTGACATATTGCAAAAAAAGCAGTGCAACTGGAATTTGGCTGGTGCAACTAGATTTTTATTTCAGGTTGCACCTGGTGCAAGTAGGTTAACATCTCTGAAATTGAACCCTGCCTAGTCTGTCTTACAGTTCCTAAACTACAATATTTTCCCTACTGCCTAGCCCTCCCTACTATGCAAAAGCCCTAAATGAAACAATTTCTTAAAGTCATATTTTTCCTACTGCCTAGCCCTCCCTACTATGCTAAAGCCCTAGATGAAATAATTTCTTAAAGTCATATTTTTCCTACTGCCTAGCCCTCCCTACTATGCAAAAGCCCTAAATGAAACAATTTCTTAAAGTCATATTTTTCCTACTGCCTAGCCCTCCCTACTATGCAAAAGCCCTAAATGAAACAATTTCTTAAAGTCATATTTTTCCTACTGCCTAGCCCTCCCTACTATGCAAAAGCCCTAAATGAAACAATTTCTTAAAGTCATATTATTCCTACTGCCTAGCCCTCCTACTGTAGCTCCTGCAAAAAAAGCCCTAAATGAAACAATTTCTTAAAGTCATATTTTTCCTACTGCCTAGCCCTCCCTACTATGCAAAAGCCCTAAATGAAACAATTTCTTAAAGTCATATTTTTCCTACTGCCTAGCCTCCCTCCTACTATGCAAACAGTCATATTTTTCCTAAATGAAACAATTTCTTAAAGTCATATTATTCCTACTGCCTAGCCCTCCCTACTATGCTAAAGCCCTAGATGAAACAATTTCTTAAAGTCATATTTTTCCTACTGCCTAGCCCTCCCTACTATGCAAAGCCCTAAATGAAACAATTTCTTAAAGTCATATTTTTCCTACTGCCTAGCCCTCCCTACTATGCAAAAGCCCTAAATGAAACAATTTCTTAAAGTCATATTTTTCCTACTGCCTAGCCCTCCCTACTATGCAAAAGCCCTAAATGAAACAATTTCTTAAAGTCATATTATTCCTACTGCCTAGCCCTCCCTACTATGCAAAAGCCCTAAATGAAACAATTTCTTAAAGTCATATTTTTCCTACTGCCTAGCCCTCCCTACTATGCTAAAGAAGAAGCAATTTAATTATTGTAGTCACAATGGGAAATAATTTACTAATTTACAATATGTAAATCACTCAAATTATTTAAATAAAATATGAAAAATATGCCAAGTGACTTTCTTCATTTTCAGAAAGTGTAGAAAACTAGACTCACCATACATTATAGACTTAATAATAATAATAATGTGTCCATTTATATAGCGCCAAACTCCACACTAGGTATGCTCATAGCGCTAACAATCAAGGCACAGCACATTATTACCCCTATAACATTATAGACTTGCGTGGGTTGTATTAGATATATTTGTTTCTGGGTATTGTTCCACAGACTTGGGCCAGATGTAGTAGATGGTGATTGAGTCTGTAGACAAAATTCTTCTATTTAATTGTCTTTAGAGATAAGATAAAGTAAATATAGATTTTAATGCTACTACAATTATAGCTCTTGCATCTATTTGACGTCAGTGACATTTCAATGAAATGCCAAACTGACCATTAATGTTTTATGTCTTCTAATAATTCTATAATGTGGTTGTTAATAGACGCAAGTCCAATTATACACCAGACAGTGGCAGATATAGATATTAGTAAGTGATACATGTTGCATTAGGAACATTAGAAATTAATTCATCTTGTTTCATTTTGTAAATATATCAAGAATGGCTTGTTCTCAATAGTCCTAACTTGGCTAATGTTTTTCTGATTTGTGAACTTGGAGTAGTAACTCTGGGATGTACTGACCGCCTCCGTGGTGTAGTGGTTAGAGCGGCCGCACGGAGAGAGGAAGGTCGCGGGTTTGATCCCCGACCGCGTCATACCAAAAGACCTTAAAATATGGTACTTATTGGTCCCTGCCTGGCGCTCGTCATCAATGGGTACAACAAGGACTGGTCGGCTCAGAGTCAGTATAATGTGTCTGAGTGGGGTATTCATGCTTCACTGCGGCATGGTATCTCAGTGGGCTAGCACTATAAAACCAGTTTCAGTCTGGGCTAGTACAAGCAGCCGCACATACACATACACACGCATGCACGTCGTCATATGAGCGAAATATTCTCAAGCACGCCGTTAAACCCAATTTCACCTCACCTCACCTCACCTGGGATGTACTACCACATTATAAAGTCCTGGGCGGACAACTGTACAGCAACACATGATAGCAACGGATACATCATAAGGTCCTCATCCTCACATATCAGTGTAGCAGGGCTCCAGATAATTTTTCAACATCAGGAGTACGTACTCCTTATTTTTTCAATATAGGAGTACTGGAAAACCTTAAGAGTACATTTTGAGTACTGAATGGAATTTAATGGCGGATCAGTAATCATGTGTTTCGTTTCATATATACACAACAACGTTGTTACTCTTGTGTAAACAGGTCAATAAACAATACTTTTTCAGATAAATACAACCCTAAATGATTCTAAGACCGTACACCATTGATGTGGTGCGTATCTGATAGTTTCCTAAATTATTTCCTACTGATACGTCCATTATCTGAGCCCTGAGTGTATCAATGATACAGCTCCTGGCTATCTGTGTGATCTAGTTCCAGTGATCAAATGCTACTAAAGGTCCCTAACATCAGGCTCAAGACATTTTGTGGAAGATCATTCGCATATAATGCTGCTGTTGAATGGAACGCTCTCCCATTTTATCTGAAATCAACTCCAACTCTAACTTGTTTCAAGAAGCATCTTAAGACCTACCTGTTCAATAGAAATTCACTGTAAGCATGTGATATCTACGAACCCTGTTAGCGCTTTCAGCTCACCTTGGTGTGGGGTTTAGCGCAACATAAGAATCCATATTATTATTGTTGTTATTGTTATATATGGAGAAAGGATGAGAATCTGGGTATTCCAGAAGTGGAATCAAGGGATGGTTGATTATAATTCTTGAATCTTCAGATACAAGTTACTTCTGTCACTTAAACCCTGTTCCTGTCAACATATATATCTCTATAAGTGTATATACAAAAGATGCCATATAGCGTCAATATTGCTGAGAGCGGCGTAAAACTAAATTCACTCACTAAAGACAAAAGTATTTGTAAAGTACTAATTTTGAGGACTATAGCCTACTTCTACAAAGTCCCATTCAAATTATTGGGGGTGGGTGGGGTAGCTTATAGTGTTGTGACGATTCATTGATACACATCGATGCATTGATCCATGGGCTGCCGATACAGTGAATCGATACAAAGTTTTACATTGTCGTATATCCTGATACGATACTAATCAAAAGGGCCACGATACATCGATTTGCAACTTTGAATATTAAAATATATGCTTACTTATTTTCCGTATCGTATCGCAGCTTCAGTGCACAATACTTTGGCAATATATCGCCGTGACTAAAATTAGTAGCCCTAGCGCTAGTAGCCTAGTGGTTAAAGCGTTCACTC